GCTCCACTCAACTAGATTCGAATCGGACCAGGTTGTGGACCATTAGGCTCTGGACCCATTACGACGACCGACTGCCTCCTGCCATTTGGCAAATAAAACAGTTCCGATGCACTTGCTAATGTACTTGGGATATTTTTAAAAGTCTTGCTCCTTTAAACATCTTAGAGCTTACTTTAATATTTGGTCTTGACTGGGGAAGTGCGGTAAAACGATGTGGCGTTTCCTCAAGCTCTTGGAATATCACCTCTTTCTTCTCGTGTTTTCGCAATCTTGAATCGATTTACTATTTGTGCCATTGAAGGATCCGCTACAATCCCCACATTCTGCTATTGCTGTGGTCCGGTTGTTGTTATTGTTGTTATTTTTGCTGCTGCTGCATCAGCAGTCCACCATATAGCGGAATAATCGCGGCCATTTTGGAAGCTGAAAAGAAATTCGGCGTACGTTATGAAACAAATGACTAACTTTTTTTCTCTTTTTCATTTTTTTTCTTTTTTTCATCTTTTTTCTTTTTCTCTTTCATCCCCATCTTTTCCATCTGTGAATGCAATGATATTCCATTTTGAGTTATCGACGTCCTTTTAAAGCCATCCATAGCTGTTCGGGCACTGAAGTCGTGTATATCTTGCTTCCTGTTCCTGTGCTGGTTGACGCAAGATCATTCGAAAGTCGGTTTAGTCAGGCACTTTTAGTCCAACAATTTCCTGGCTGTCTCTGTGTCCTATGCGCGCATAGTGAAATATTTGATTTAACTTTATGTTTACCGACTAGGTGTTGTTTTATACAATTGCAGAATGGTCCAGCCGTTTCGCCATTGCATTCATCCCCTCACGGCGTACAACAGATCAAATAAACCGTTACCGAACTCATGCAAACACCCTCTTGCGTTGTACAGATAGCCGTGCAGACGCTTGCGAACTAGCTGGCTTCTTGGAGTGTTCGGTAGCATTTTCATCACTGTTAACAAATTCTCTAGACCGAGCTTCTTAAACATCGTCTCCTAGCTGCACTGATTTCACTGTAAATGAAGAACGAAATAAACGGGACCTTATTATGGCAAGAATTATGGTTCAGAGGCATTGTTTCCTTTCTAAACCCACCCCAGGAAGCTATCGCTTGGTCAAACCCATCATTTCCTGGGCTACCAACCGGAAGAATGCGCGTGATAAAAATTTGCTCTCCCAAATTTTAATTCACATTGTGAATGAAAGATTTCCACATGTCAAGCTGTAAAACGATTTATCTGTTTTTCGACGAAGCATTAGTGTCCAGTAGAAAAAAATGTCATCAAAAACGTTAATCTATTAGAATGCCTGGGTGACTCAAGAGGACAGGAGGACAGACGTTAGCGTCTGTTGCTAACCAACCACAGAATGTTCAAACAACACTTCCTGGATTTCGCCACAGAACGTCGACCACATTTCCACTTACTGTACAGAGCGTCCCACAACAGAACACTCTCACTAGCCACTATTATTATAACGACTGCTTCTTGCGTTATTATTATTATTATTATTATTATTATTATTATTATCATTATTGCATGATGCAGCTTCTTATGTATTACATTGTGCGAATGGGAACCCTTCTTGCATTCGATTCGTTTCCTCCCACTATCCACAAAAGTCTTCGAACTTTACTTTGCGTAAGGATTCGGCTGCTACCTAAGATTTTTACGTCTTGCTCACTAATATTGTTGAATGCTGGTGGAGCATATTCTCCCTGAAATCTCGAGATACCTATGCTAGGAGGCTCCGATGTAGATTAGAGGAAGAGAGCTCGCTCTAGACAAGTCTGGTAGCAATTTTCTGCTCACGAGAGGATGAGATCATGACGCGTCCCATGCGGAAACCAACCAGTGCCTGGGTACGATGCGCCGTCCGCGTATTGAGCGTGGCCATAACCACTGCTGCTCCCTTAGCCGGTATTAATTTTTTTAAAGTATAATGTAAAACATCGTTCCTCTTAACATTTTTTAGTCATCGGTTCGAAATATTCTAAACGGTTACTCTTTGGTTCGTCGCCTTCCCTCAGCTGAACGCAAAAACCGGTCGATAATAAATCGGTAATTACTGATCTCGTATGTGAATTGATTCCTTCTCAGTATGATTTACTACTGAAGGAGAAGAATTTAACTGCAGTAGAGGTTACTAAACTAGTGGCAAAAAATAGCACTAGTTCTGATCATTTAAGACAAAACAAATTAGCGCGATACAGAGAGCAATGGATGCAGAAAAGCAAAATGTGAAGTCATGCAAGTATCGCTTGATACTGTTCACATTGCTAATGGTTCTCTAGTACGACTTTAATCGCTTTATAGTGATATGGAAGCTTATTGGGAGCGAAATGTGCAGTTATTTGAGGCGCCTTGCAACCCGCGCGTGGCAGCAATTGGTTCGCTACTGTACCCCGGGCGGGGTCACCAAGCCTTTAATCTCTCCGAGGTCGGCAAAGTGTTAGCAAACTTGTCTGAGAGGATAACAGCACCGATCGGATACGTTGGTAGGCCACCGCGAGTCATTGTACAAGTCAGCTATGCATTCAATCACCTCTAAACGATGCTTAATGAAGTCGAATACATGGCGCATCCCTCAGGGATTGATCAAAGCCGAAATCTTTATCCTTTATCGTCTATGAATAATCAATATTTTGTCTCATTGATAGACACTTAAGTTGTTATTTTGAAGACTGTTTGTTCGAATATAGGCTCGTCCTAGCTTATCAATGAAACAATCCGTTCAAAAGTCGTTTATAGCACTTACTTACTTGATACTTGAATAGCCCATCCTCACTGGTTGTGCAGGCCCCAGCATAATCTCCAATTTCGGAGATTTGCTGGTTAAGCCATTATGTCTCCCTGGAGCCCCGAGGCCAGCCTGGCCAAAGTTTGCCCCAGGTGTTCACCACCACGGGTAGTCGCAGCCCTTGTGAATCAGAGCGAGATTTACCACCATGCGACTTTGATACCAGGGCGGTAGTGGGTCCTGGTATTGGTTTACTCTTAGCTAGGCTTCCTGATGGAAACGCCGAACTCCTCAGCTTGGGAGACCCTGCCAGGGGATGAATCCTCCGCTGTACATCGCAGTCCGACACCCAGGAACACCTCCCAGCCACGATAAGGCGGTAAACCGTTGGGAGGCACTTATAGCACTAAACCGAATAAAGGACGATTACGATTCCAATTGGTGTCGAAATATCAAATTCAATACAATTACAATATTTAATACATATATACACATACAATATTCAATGCAATATTTAATGTTTATTTCTTCTTGTTTTATATGACCCGTCTTCACGTCTACTGTGCGGATTCCAGCGCTTCTCACATTTGATTCGTTTCCTCGCATCCGTCATCCACGAAGGACATCCAAGTTTTTTACGTGTGGCTTCGGTTGCTGCTTGAGGATTTTCATTTCATCTTAAATGTGGAGTCCTGAGATAGCTGGGCTGGAGCGTTCCCATTTGGATTACACAGAGTGATTTTTTCCGGGACAAGTCCGGTATCAATTTACCGACTCCGGAGAGATGGAGGGTTTGGTTGGCCCAGAGCAGGATTGAACTAGCACCATTTTCGCCATAACCGACATCACTACCACTGGGCTATCCGCCCCTATACTATATTAATATATGTGTAATATTTAATATATAACACAACGCAATTTCAAAATACAAGTCGATTCACGCATTTCAATGACTTAACAACGCTTTCGAGGAGAACGAAGCAAATATGAGCACGACCACAAAGCTTCGTCGTTTCGATACTTCAGGCAGATTTCAGTCAACGGGAGTGGAAGCGTGTATGGCAACGAGCTGTGTAGTTATTAGTTGTTTCTACTTAAATTAATTGAACATATTACTTTTGACCTATAACTTCTCTAATTATGATTCATAACTTATTCATTAATCATGAAGACCAGCTTCACACTTAGTACACATGAAAGATTCGTGGGTGTCGTTCAGTACCACCACACAGTTACAAGTACGAGATGTGAGCAGTGTGTTCAGTAGTCCTAGTATTACGGCCAGGACGCTTTCGATGAAGAAGCGTGAGCTCATCCTTCATTTGACCACCGGTTGGCTTTCAATCGATAACGACCGGTTGAGATCGATTGACATGGCCGATGATGCTCCAGTTAACCGAAAAAACTTTACTTGTAAGGACATTCGCAGCATTTTTTCTTTGGTCCATAAAGTCCATTTTGGTTGAAAACTTATTAAGATTACAATAATGCTGAAGTAGTCGAGAAACTCCAGACCGCAGGTCTCTATAAGGTAATAGCAGGGTTCGCTCCCCGCCGCAAACACCTGCGGTCCGGAGTTTTGCAAATGTTTCAACATCATTTTAGTTGTATTTGACATCATACACTGCCATGAAAAAAGAATAGGCAATAAGTAAAAAGTGATTAACTTGTTAAGACTGCTAATCTTCAATACCATTTAAAATCGATTTTGTAAGCCAGAAAATCGGAAGTTGCTAAGTCCGAACTTGTTGTGGTGACAACTAGTACGATAGATGAACTTCTGGAAATGTCGGAAATCGAAGTTTCAAGGACTTACTCGTGAATTTTCCGTAATCGATCTGGAACTTTCGCAGTCAGGGAAAAATCAATAAGCATCAAGTTGACAGTTTTCAGGGGAAGTTACGGCTCGCGGGAAAAAGAAGTGCTTAAGCGTCGTCTATGACGAACTTAGAAAATCTTAAGCGGTAACGATTTCTTGACTTCTTCATTTATTGTAGTAAATTTCACGTTAACAACGTTAATGGAAAGGAAAAATTAGTAAAAAATTTACTGTTTAGGTAGTACAACCTCCTGGCTTGGACCTTTGGTGTAGCCAGCTTGTCTACTCAGTTCAACCTTCTCTGTGACTTCTAGCTTTCAACGGTCCCTCATTCAGATTTCGGATTTCTTTATTAGTTGTTCTACTGCTTTGATTTTTTCTTTATGTTGTACTTTTAGCCCATTAGAAAGCATTCAGATGTCCAATAGAATTCCAGAATGTCCTTTATTCTTCATTCTACACGTTCGTTCGACCATGCGATCGATTTATCCTCGTCAATCAGTAAATCATTGCAAGCAAAATATCAGCTTACGACATCCAGTTCTACCCGTACACCTCGTTCATCCGGCAAAAATAGTACTGTGGATAAACCGTGCACAATTGCAAGTACGTGAATTTCTTTCTCATATCTTTTTTTTCTCTTTTTTCGCTTTTCTATCTTTTCTTTACTTTTCTTTCAAAAGTTCTTTTTCTCGCTATTGACCACATTTTACTCCATTACAATGAACAACCTGTTGGAGGAGTTGAATAGTCCTGCAACTTGTGGAGCCCATGTCAGGCATCCATCAGTTGCTAAAGTTGCACTCGTCACTCGTCCAGTAGTGGTACTACAGCAAGTTTCCACTACCATTGCATTTCCTTTCTAGTTTATTTGTGTTTTGTCCTGTTAAGTGATGAAAATTTGCAAAAAATACTAGTGCATAAAGCATGTAAGTAACTTGAAAAGGTGATTTACTCTTTGATGTAGGTATAATAGAAGGCCGTGGCACTTCAAAAGGTCATATTGGTCTCGCCCTAATGAACTTACGTCAAGCAGACGTTGAACTGAACGAATTCATCGACTCATCCACATATTCGCGTTTGAAAATGAAGCTACTGATCGCCGAACCTGTCGAGGTAAGAAAGCCATTGGAAACTTGGTTTTGTTTTCTTCTATTGAGTGTTGATGGCTATATTTGGTTGCTGTTGTATGCTGCTTATGGTTTTCTTAAAAGGATAAAGAATAAAGCTCTCGGCGTTGATCAATCTCTGAGGGATGCACCATGCATTCTACTTCATTAAACATCGTTTGGAGGTGATTGAATGCGTATCTTGCTTCTACAGTGACTAACAGTGGCCTACCGATGTATCGAGCCACTTCTGCTATACTACCAGACAAGTCTGGTACCAATTTTTCGACCCTGGAAGGGTGGAAGATTTGGTTTGCCTGGGGCGCGGGAATCGTTCCAATGTGTATTGCAGGGCGCCTCCAGCCACTGCGCCACACACACTCCTATGATTGCATTGTTTAGTGCTAATTAAACGGTTTGGTATTTTTGATTAGTAGCTGCCCAAGCCCATTTTTGGGGGCATGTCATGGGAAATGGTAAATGATTATAAAGCTCTTGTTATATGGCTGGATGTGTGGTTTTTTTGTCGAGAGCGGTAAATTATGGGCTACGATTTGAGCTATTTCATTAACTTACTCGATTTATGAGAAATTACAAGCGGTTTTAACAAAATAGACGGCGAACTTGCAGGTGATTGTGGCGGAAAACTATTTGGAAAAGCCGTCAAACGCAGCGATGGTGGAAATGATTCGATCATCGCTACCAGATGCTACAATAACAAAAGTTCACAGAAGGTGTGATTCTCTCAATTTAATTGCTCTAATAGGATCCCTTTCACCTTTGTATATTTATTTCCTTCCTTACGATTAGAACCCTTTTCTTCATTTTCTCAGTCTCTTTTGTTTGTGGACTTGTAGAGCTGTGTTAAGATGCGCTGTTGCCAGTCTTAGGTTCTTCAATCACCCGAGGGGCGTCGAACTGGTGATTCAGTTGGCCAATGTTGAGGTGTCAAACTGTGACAACACTGTGTTGCAGAAGTATGTCGATCTGATTTTTTTTAAACTGCACAATGTCATTAAGCTCTTCTCTAACGGCCGACTTTATATTAACCTCGGCATTGAGCAAATAATTCTTTACGTTTTTGTTGAACAAACACGAGGTGTTATTTTGTTCTTTGTTTATGAAGAAGCTGAGGTTTCGGCGGATTTCGCCTTCTTCAGATCCTGGAAGAGTCATGTTGACCGCAATCTACTCAGCCAAACACTTCTTTAACCACTTTTTTCTTACTTCTTTCATCTCCTTTTTCTTTTTGCCTTCTTACTTTTTTGTCTTACTTAGGTTTCAGCGTGTTTATCCTCGTATTTCTGCTTTTTTAGAGAGTTTTGCATGCAAAGTTGCTGTGCACTGATCAAGTACGTCGAACAAATTCAGAATATTGTGTTCGCTTCGAAAGCTCTCCGCTTTTTATACAAGGACGTTGAAAAAATGTGCCTATTGGGGAAGTTGTTTGGAGTTTTTTCCATATTGACTTCCTCACTTCCGAATTTGTTTAATACTTCAGATGTAGGATCATGGAGCAATCTCGAAGTGCTTAACACCGATCCGAAGAAGGTAGTAAGTAGATGTGCAAATATTTGTTGTGTTATTCATAATTTTCGTTCTAAGGCTCGCAGTTCACTACTTGCGATTGTTGATGAGACTTTGACATCTGGAGGTTCTCGCCTACTTCGTTCCAACCTTCTCCAACCTTCAGCCGACCAAGATGTTATTGAACAGAGACTAGATGCTGTTGAGGAGTTGGTTAACAATCCCCATGTTAGGAAATATTGCGTTTGTTGCCCATTATTCTTGTTTCTACTTCTTTTTTACTTTTGTTTATTTTTTAATGCAGGAAGTTATGACAATCAGTGAGTTTTCAGTTATGTCTGATATTCGTCACTACGGCTTCGATTTAACCAAACAATACATTTCAGGTAGTAGAAAAATTACGGCAATTGCTGGACAACACGTACTATCTAGATCATTTTTTTAATGTATTCGTAGAATCACCTCATGAGCGTACTTTACGAACAGCCGATTTTCATGTCACCCAGGTAACACCGATTCTTATTAACCTGTTCGGGAAGATATGAGTCATGTATTACTCATATGTGACTAAAAGTCGTATACCTTTCAAATTAAAATTAATATCGAGACTCTTATTTGAACAGTTAGGCCACTTCAAAAGCAAGTTGTAATCTAAGAGGTTCGATTGTCTCTGCCAATGATGGTAGTTTTTGCCGCACATGTTTGTGATTGAAATTTTGATATTCTTTGAGAATTTATGTTTTGAACGTTAGGTTTTTGAAGAAAACCATTTTACACGAAGTCTCCATATACTCTTAGAGTAATGTTTCAAAGTCTAATGTACAATTTTGGCAAATCCTAAGGTCCTTATGTACTCTAGTTATCAAAACATTAACGGCGCCTATCGAAAAACTAAGGGCGCGTGTAGCGTGATGGTCGGAGGCGCCATGCAACACGTAGGATTGGTCCTCGCGCCCTTGGCTCACCAAGGCTTCCATCCCTCCGGGGTCAGCAAATTGGTACCAGACTTGTCTGGGAGGATAGCAGCACTGGCTCGATAGATCGGTAGGCCACCGTGAGTCACTGTAAAGGCCAGATATGTATTGCGCACCCCTCATAAAGTGAAGTAAATCTGGTCCGTAAATCTTAGTATTGCGAAAGAATTGATTCTGTTCACTTTACATATGTAATCTGCGAGATTGAGATTTAAAATTTTCGATAGGAAGATGGGATTTATTCAATTAGAATCGTATATAATACTGAGATATTTGCAAAACTCCGGACCGCAGGTGTATGCGGTGGGGAACGAACCCGCGCTGTTGTCCTTACCGGGGAGCAGCGCACTTCACCACCACTTCATCCGGGTCTCGATAGAACGATCGATGGAACTAGCTGAGAGACAGGCAAAACGAAGGACCCGGATGGTGTGGTGGTGAAGTTCACTGCTCCCCGGTAAGGACAACAGCGCGGGTTCGTTCCCCACCGCATACACCTGCGGTCCGGAGTTTTGCAAACATCTCAATTAGAATATTTATCATTGTTTCAAAATTGTCACTTTACAATGCCAGTTGTATGTTAATTGGATTTTTACGTTACATTGTGATTAGCACATATGTTTCAGCTGTTACGGCTAAAGCAGGCTTTAGCTGTTGTCCCTCCTTTACGTCAACTGATGAAGAACTTCAAGTCCAAACTTTTGAGCATAAAGAGAGAGGTAAACACACACATCCCTTTTTTGTTTTCTGGCACAAATCATTTTTCTAGCTTCTGAACGACGAACGAATTGATACGATTGAAGAGTTGTTAGACAAACAGTTTCATTCCGATGGCTTCGTTAGCAGGAAGAAAAGTTCAATTAATCTCAGACATCAACGGTGTTACGCTATTAAGGTTTTAGCTTTGCTACTTTAGTTATGCCTTAACTGAGGACAGTACTTTGGAGTTCTCAATGTCCTGTTACAGGAAGGAGTATCTGTGAATCTTGACATTGCTAGACGAGCATATGAGGAACTCCTGCGAGATATCGAAGCTCAAGGTATTTTCGACGCAATTCTTTTGTTATGTTTTTGCGTACGAATCGCATTAATCCAAAGTGTTATGCAAGGAAACTATTTGAAATCCTCAGAAACTTCAGAGGAGGAACTTTCGACACATTTCCCCGGGGAGAACACTCGTATGGCGTTTTCAACTTCACGAGGATTTCACTACGTATGGGTGTGTAGAGATGCAGGCAGTGTTGTGTTACCACCGGTATGCTTTATATGGATTTCAAGGATCAAACAATGAGAAACTTTCCCCATGCTAACCAGAATTTTTCTCATTTTTCAATTTATAAATGTATTCTTTGAGGTTCTAGGTATTCATCAATGTTGTGCGTAATCGATCGTCTATCACTTTCACATCTAGAAATTTGGTCCGCTACAATGGTCAGTTTTTGTCTTTCCATTCACTTTTAATTTGAATTTTGCATTCCCAAAAATAGGTCAATTTTGCAGATAGGATCGAGCAATCACTTTCAGAAGTAATGATCGCTACTGATCTTGTCATTCAGCACATAATTAAAGAGGTACAACATATTTTCTTGTGGTTGTAAGCTTTTTTTCATACTTCAATATATCAGTCAGTATTGTTAACCACTAGCCGGAAGTAACTGTTAGTCATTGTCTTCTCACTCTCTATCTTATAAAATGGTTTTAAACAATATAGGAAAACTAAAAGATCCGGTGTATTGGAGAGAAGGAGACGTTTAAGGTAATGCCTTCAATAATAATCACCGATGAAATCCGGATGCATCTTTGCCTTATGAATTCTGATAAAAAGTTTGATTTTGTGGAATTCTTTGAAATCATATTTCGTAGATAAGATCTACATCGTCAGAATTCTATATAAGTTTGCCAAAAAGCTTGGTCTTCCTTGTTTTTACCCTAGTTGTCTCTCAAAAGTAATTTCGGAAGATGCAGATGGATCCCGTTTTTTTTAATTAATGTTGTGGATAGAAACGTGGAAGCGTCAACTGTATGGAATATTGGTCTGCAATGACAACGTCACGTAGCCAATGTTTTCTGTTGTAGATAGTACAAAAATTCGGAAGGAAGACACGATCATTTGTCTGGTCATAAATGAAACATGAAGAACAACGGGCACAGAAGGTTCACTTATTACGGATTGTATAGTATATGTACATATAGCACGTTTAGGAGAAATGGATATATGAGCTTTGATGAGGAATTGAATTCAACTGTGAACAATATAAACGACTTTCGAAGCGATCAAGGTTGCCATAACTCACTGCCAGATTTAAGCCATCAAGTTCACCTATGAGTCTCAGTTATCCTTTCTGACTTTTTTCAGTTCGCTGGATATGTTCATTTCGTCGTAGACTTCGTACACCTAACACAGCATTTGAATTCGTAGTGTCATCCTTCTGTAAATCTCACTTCGTGGTCGCTGATTTATATACGGAAGAAGCGAAATATTGATGAAACAATGAGACTATTACTAGGTAATAAATCGATGAGGAAGCTACTGTTCTTGTCTGTTAGAAGAGTGATACGACCACGAAACAAAGATCAGCTTGACTGATATATTTGTTGTCGGCGTGAACTATCTGTAATTGGGACGTATTTTGTCTTGGTTAAATCCCACAGATTGTAATGTTACGCGAGGTCGGCAGGCCTCCTGAATCGAATTAATAGGAGAAAGGGATGGAGGAATGTTCTGGACCGAAAACCGTAGATGAAAACGGAATGTTGTAGGTTGTAGAATTATTTACTAGCAATGAGGTGACTAGCTACTGTTGTATCTGAAATTTAGGTGCGACCATTAATCGCAGTTCTCTACCATGTGGTGGACTGTCTTTCAACGACGGATATGCTTTGTAGTTTTGCAGTTTACGCCTTTAACAGAGGAGATACAGGTCTGCATGCGAACGTACATGCGATTTTAATCACCATTAACCTTTAAAGATATTGTTTTTTTTTCACTACTGAATCGAATGAAGGAATGTTTAGTATTGTTAGACTTCAATGTTATATTTCAGTTCGTCCTCGATTTGGAAGCAGCGTAGTTCTAAATGAAGGCAGACATCCATTGCTGGACTACTCCATTGGCGATAAAACAGTACCAAATGACACAGTAACCATTGCCTTTTGCTCTACCTTCTAATATTATTAAATCTTTTTATTAACGTCGTCACTTTTTATTTACTGCCCATACTTTTTTCATGGCAAGATATTATGTGAAATATAACTATAATGTTGCTGAGATATTTGCAAAATTCCGGAGCGCTGGTGCTTGCGGTGGGGACCAAACACGCTATTGTCCTTGCCGGAGTTTAATACATTCAGCACCACACCATGCTAGTCTTTTGTTTCGCCTTTCCCTCAACTGTGTTATTGAACTATAGGTGCTTTTTATTAACGTTCCATGCAAAAGTTAAGTAGCCATAAAATCTTTCTAGGCTATCATAAAATATCCTTGCAAACTGGAGTATAGCATCAGTTTTTCAGTACATTGCTGAGCATTCGCGAATTATGATTATCACTGGTCCAAATATGGTTAGTTGCACTCCTAATTTCCGTGAATCGAAGAGGAAAATTTCGTTCTTTCGTTCCAGTTTATCTTTAGAAACTCGAAATAAGTTTTGTTTTGGAGGATGATTTATGGATTGCTTAATCTAATTTGTTCACGAAATCATTCAGCGTTTATTTTAGACTGGGAAATCCACATATTTAAAACAGGTGTGCCAGCTGTGTATTTTGGCGCAGAGCGGATGCTTTATACCTGCAAAGGTAGCAATTCTACCCGGTATGTAATGAAAGTGAGGTATTTAGGAGAACATTAAGTGTGTTCTGTGTTTTAAATTGTACATTAAGGCTTTGCTTTAAGTATTCCGTTTCAGTGTTTCAACGGATCTTCTCTCGAGTAGGTCATAACGACAGTTTGATGAGGAATCTTTCGGCCTTTGCTTTAGAAATGGACGAAATCGCGTGTATTCTTCAATATTCAAACGACCGCACGCTTGTTGTGATTGACGAATTGGCACGAAGTGAGATTTTTTAACAAATTAACACACTTGCGACCATGCGCATTGATTTCAACGCAGACCTATTTTCAAACTAATGCGCTTTTCGAGTTCAAGCAGACAACTGAAGTGAAAATCCAATAGAATCCGCTGATTTTGATAGTATCTGATAATATCCTGATTTAGAAGACAATTTCTTATTCTATCAAGGAATTCCGGATTCTTAGAGCCCACGAAACTTGTTTTTCTTTTTTCATCGAAGTTCGTATTTCAAGCTGCGGGCTGAATGAGCGCTCAACATTTGCTACGATAGCGTGGTCGAATACATCGTTGGTGTTCGCGGTTGTCGAGCTTCCGATAAAGTTGAAAAATCCTTTCCAAGGATTTGGAAGCCTTAACTTTAAACGAATTTGAAGGCTTAGGAAACTGCATATATATATATATATATATATATATATATATATGTACATATATATATATTGTTCAGAACGATATAAAAAGTTCTCTACAAACTAAATTCTAGTTCTTCTTCTCATCTATACGTCTGTGACTTTCATACGTTCCTAAGTGCTTTAGTTGTTAGAATGTGACGTTATCACCAATAAACTAGGAGGAATTCTACGTGTTCTCTTGATAAACAAACACCAGGTTGTCACTATACTATAGATTATATATCCACGATAGTTGATGTTTCGATGGACTTAGTCTTCTTCACAGCCTGGGAAGGTCAAGTTGACTGCAATCTCGTCACCCAAATAAGTCCATAACATCAACAGAAAAGCAAAAAAAGCTAGATTTCCGTCGCATTGAAAACAATACAGTTTTTCACACACTCACTATTTTCTATAAATCTTCCACTGACTCTTCCGTATGGAGACCAATCGTACAAAGTTCATATGGACGGACAATGCGCCTCACTCACATTAAAATATCAATCTGTGCTATTGTGTGAGATCACGTGTAATAATGAGCCATTCCTCTCTGCACTTTATTTTTGGATCCTTGGAATTTATCCAAAATTCCTAAAGGGTTTTACATCACTGAACTTTTATATGCCTTTGCGAGGATTGTTGCCTCCACTTCAAAATCTTCCCCGTTATATCTCTGTGTCCCATGTGCGCCTTAATTAACTACTTAGTTTAAATTTAAATTTACCGACTGGGTGTTCTTCTACATGAACGCACAGTGAGTTTTATGTACTCTGCTTGTTCGTCCAGCAACTCCGAACATTTGTCCAAATCCTCTTGTGTGAAGTATGCTCACTCGCGGAAGCCGAAAGTAAACAGACTTGCATTGCTGAACGTTTGAAATGACTTATCTGAAAACGACTACATTATCAAATAGCACTGAAAGCCAGCTAACAGAAATATACTTGTTGATCACCACACCTTTTGCCCTTCACATACAAAAAGGACACTTATGAGAGACATGTTTCGAACAGCCACCAGTGTCTGTACAAGAAGAGAGTGAAAGGAAGAATCTATGAAATTGGCACTGCAAGCAGTCACTTTCAGTAGCTACGAAACGGTAGCACATCCTTGGGATAGGTTTGGTGGATGAACCATTTATTCTGCCGTTCATTTTCAACAAAGTAAATGCAGCTATAGAAAGTTGCCTGAAGAGATTTGTTGCGTTAAATCGGCAGCAATGAACGAAATACCGCCGAATACTTAAACACACCAGCGTGTTCGGAACCTCTTGTTTGACCGTCTGTGGATAATACAAAACTGTACAGTTTTCCCTAACCGTAGAGACGGTGACTGCAAAAGTTCGGGTTTGGTTTATCCGATTTTTTTACAAAACGCGTGGAACCGAATATGTTGACGAAATGGGTGAACGCCACTGTATCGGTGTGAAATAATACTTAAGGCAAGCGTAAAGTTGGAAGAAACGCTCCAATAGACGCGCATAGGATACAGACACATAACGGGGAAAATTTTGAAGTTTAAGGAACCATCTTCGCACGGGGAGCTAGAGCTTCAGCATATAAAATCTTCAAAGAATTCTCGACAAATTTTAGGAATGTAAAAATGAACTGCAGGGAGGAATACCTAATTATTACGCGTGATCCAACACAATATCGCAGACTGATATTTTAATGTGAAAGGGCAGCATTTTCCATCCATGTAAACTCTATGCGGTTGGTCTCCACGTGGAATACTCACTAGAAGACGCATAGATTACGGTAAGGTGGTGAAGAAGCCATTTTGCTTCCAGTATGATTAAAATCTAGGCTTCTTGGTTTTTCTTTCGAGCTTATGGAGTTATTTGGATGCCTACATTGTGTATCGTATACAATGAAGAAGGCAAAATCCACGAAACCTCAATTTTTGCGGATAAATAAGTTGTATAGTAACAGCCTCGTGTTTGCTCATCAGAAGAATGGTGTAAACCATGCTGAGGTTGATAGAAAGTCGGCCCTTGGAACTTCATATGTTTTTCCATTTGCAGAAAGTTACTAAAGTTTGGTGGAAACGATAGATTTATACGTCTAATATTGGTAAACATTGATTTGTTAGAAAGGTTCTCACAAAATGGAATGTTCAGGCACTTCGACAGAGGAAGGCATTGGAATTTCGTTTGCGATCATCGAAAAACTTCTCAAACAGAAGGTTCTTTTCTCGACATTCTTGTTGTTGACTTTCTTTTCAGTCTTTTTTGTATGAGTCTTCTTTTTTTCATCATCGAGTAATGTATAGTCTTGTTCTAACGTTTAAATTTTTAACGAGGTCTGAATACATCTAATTGAGACATTCACAATCTTTGCCACGCATTTCCTCGATTTGGCTGCCTTAGGCGTCAACTGCTGTGCTGTTGAGAAGTTCGGATTTAGTTTTTTCGTCACCAGTTATCTTCCTTTTAGCTATACTTTTTTCAGTTACCACTTCCCGCCTCAAGTGGTCTATGTGAACGGCCAAGAGCAATTCTGTCCTACACATCGGCTCCATAAGGGTGCTTACAACGGGCCACTGTATGGTGAGCCTCGCAGAAAATAAATGCCTTTAGGGCAATGCATAGATGTCTTGTAGGTTTCGAGCTAGTGGAATTATCAACATTCCCGAGAGAAGTAATCGAATCTGCGCGTACGTTGGCACATCGTCTTCATAAGGAATCTGCTGATAAAAGGTTGTTGTAGTTAGACCCTATAATTATGTAGTATATCGACGTACTCATTTTATAGTGTAGTATATTGAAGTTCATCGCAAGTCTTGTAGATATTGTAGCATAAAAACTAAAAATACGTAATCTTTCGCAAAACAGCTGAGAAAAACGCGGAGCAGGAGTCTCTGTGGCGCAGTGTGTAATGCGCGAGCCGCCGGAAAGGGAAATCGCGGTTCCGTCTTACCCGGGGTCCAAGTTTTGCGAATATCCCACCATCGTTATGGTTGTAATTCACATCATACCCTGCCGTTAAAAATTATAGTGGACAGAAAATAAAGGCATAACACTATGTAGTTTTCCCTTGATAAGTTTACACGAGGTTAATAAATAAACTTTTATTCGACTAACGTTTCGACGTTTTCGTCTTCATCAAAGCCGATGGTCCGAGTCGATGGTCCATAGTTGTTCTCCTGAATGTGGCTCCCTCGTCTTCGCATCAAACAAACATCACCTTATCAACCTCGTGTAAGGTTGTGAAAGAAAGATTAGATATTGGTTAGTCATACCGAGGTTAAAGGAAAATCGGTTTAAAAAAACTAAGAATGTTTCAACTTTTCGGTTTCATAAGAAGCATTTCAAAGTAAATATAATCTTGGCGTAGTTCAGAGTGGTGAGTGCTGACACGCTCATACGTAATGCTATGGTGCGCAGTGCACACAGTCTACGCCAAGTATGCGAGTCGAAGGAAGTGGCGAGTAGAGAGAGCTTGATCAAGTTAGTCGATCTCTCCTTCTTAAGTAGTCCACAACCACAACTACACATAACTGGACATCGACATTGGTTTCCAGCCGTTGGGGTCTTTTCTTCAGTGAAATGTAAACAAACCATGAAATGAAGAAGCGTTCGTTCACAGCTTCGTTTATGAAAGTGGTAAAGTTATTCGATACCGTAGAACTAAGGTAGAAGTATTAACCTTGTTTGTAACTGAAAACTCGGTCTGTTTATGCTTGACTGTAGATCGAAATTGGTTTTGCAGATATCTGAAGGATATTAGGAAGTATTTACAAATGAATATTACCGATGCTAAATCGATAGTTGACAACGACTAAAGTTTGTTTGAATCTTCTTCGTGCCATTTTTTTAAACTGTGAACCTTTACCTATAACAATGTCCTCATTAAGGTCAACTTCTCGCCGTGGATGCCTGTTAGAATGGATATATTCAGTCATTTAATACTTCTCTTTTTTCGTTGTAATGTTTTTCGGTACGTTTTCTTGCAGTGAGTCATTGGTCAGTATATAATTTCTGTTCTTTAGTTCTCCTGCTGTTTAACTTTACTTCTCGTAAATTGAAAGATAAGTTCTTGTTGTATTCAGTGCTTTATGGTTACCTTTTATACTTTATTTCAAATTGTTTCCCTTGTGGTTTTAGTTTTTTCTTTTACTTTTGAAATATCTTCCACTATGCTTCTTTGTAAGGAATCGTCCGTCCTGAATAGAATTCTATTGATTGTTTGTTTAAGCAGATTTCATGTGGATTTTATTTTCTGCAGTTCTTTTTATACTGCCTGTAAATCAGTTGTTAGCTCAACTCCTGTGAATTTTGCCCTGTATTCGTCCTTGTACCGATATTTATAACGGTTGAAAGTGCTTCGGTGCCTTAGCATTAAATGTTGTCTTGAAATCCTGTCTTTAGTGAGATTTCGGGCATGTGTCTGTCCTAGTTCTTAGATGCAATTGTGTTATGAGGACGTATTTTAGCTGTGTTCTTACTCAGTGGTCGTTGATTATGAAATTTGTCACCGACTACAAATTTGCAACGTCTGTTTTACACCAGTACAGTTTGGCATTGTTCATATGTGTCGAAGGAAGTGGACTAGTTTGACTGGTTTATTAACTGGTGGGTTTCGTTCTGTATGCTTAAAGTAAATTCTTCAGTAATGGTTTCGTTTTGGAACATTTGATTCAGATTTTGTGGTTTAATTGCATGGAAGGCAAAGGGTCTATTCTTCTAGGACATTCCGGGCATTTTGGTTGACATTGTCGAGAGCTGTTCTGATTTCGCTGTCTGCTTCTCCGTTCTGGTACGTTTCGTTGTTCTTGTTGTTGATATTGTTGTGCTATCGTATTCCATAACTATAACTAGATCGTCTACTTCATGCTTATGAGTTGCAGCGACGAGCAACCAAAAGCCGATAGCACAGGTGATCGTCATAATAGTCATCAGTGTAAGTAGCCAACATTGAAGAATGCACTGAAAGTTCTCAGATGTTCTAAAAACTCAACATGAATGGAAAAACGGTCGTTGCTGGCAAAACAGATTTAGAAAGCGAGGACAGTGAACTCACTTGTCTAGCAAGCGTTTCATCTCTTATTCCATTCGTCTCCTGCTCAGTTTTAACTTCATTAGCCTGCTTCAATCTCCCTAAATGCCAATAAGTCCGTGTGGATATGTTCAGTGATTCGCGAATCTAATAAATAACACATTCGTGACCGCGTTTCTAAAGGTCTGAATACCACAGGTTTCTTGTTTGTTTTTGCTTTTCGTAAAGATTTCTACCCCATAAAGTGAAGCAATTTAAGTGGCATCCCGTCCAGAGGGACGAGATGTCGGCCAGTGTTGTGGTTGTGTTAGGAATTTTACAATTTCGAATTTGTTTTGCACTGTCTAGAAATCGTGAGTTTTCGGAAAAGAGGACGTTACAATTTTTGAGAAATACCACTTAATTGAGATTCAACTAGGAATTATTTATGAATATTCCATTAGAGATAGCTGTTTTGAGCGAGGCATCTTCTATCAGTTTTAAAGCTCTCTTAGGTTTAAATCCCTCGATTTATTTTGGAGCTATCGGAAGTCGAAAAATCCCCGGAGTCACGAATGTGTTAAATAACTTGACGAAAAAGAAAGTGGTAATTCTTTAACATTCTCAGTTTTTGTACCTGTTTTACCTTTTCGTGATGATTTTAGTGGTACGGCCGAGTCGATTTCTTTCTCAGGTACTTTCTTATCTTGGAGTTTTTCACGTTCCATTGACCCAATGTCCTTCTCAGTCTTTGCTTTTTTCTTTGCTTCTAATTGTTCTGCCGACCCAGCGTCTTTGTTATTTCTAGCCTTCTTCTTCTTCCCTTTTAGCTGTTCTGCTGAACCGACTTTGTCCTCATTTCTAGTGTTCTTCTTCACTTCTAGTTGTTCTGCTGATCCAGCGCTGTCGTTGTTTCCAGCCTCTTCTCGCGGTGTTGAGTTTCCGTCTGATCTGGAGTATATGCCGTCTGTTTCTTCCTCCATTCTAAATGCCGGCATAGGAATCGTATGTTTTTGTTCCGACATAATTTCCTCTTTTATTCAGAACTCACCAGTTACAACGTAGTCAGAACTAAAAATAACGGAATGGTAATGAATCCGACTTCATTATCAGGGTTCATACAGCATTCTCATATTGGTATATCATATCTCATATCACCTGTTTACTTCCAATTTTATCTCGTATATCAGGAATCCGTAGAAACATCATATCATTGTCAAGTCATACTAATGACGGCTACATTAAACGGTATATATTCGAAATTTATTTATTCATTGAGTATACAGTACAAATGACCACTTCAGCTATGGAAATACCCGATTTGAATGAAATCACACATTTTGGCGAGCTTATTGGAACTTTGGAATTCGAGACTTGTAAAGAATGCGAAGTGCTAATTTTGGAAATTTGGTGCTCTTGGGAGTGAGGCTGATTTTCTCACGAGCGATGTAGGGGTCATATGAATGATAAGCGGCTCAATCGTCAACAAGCTTATGTGTGCAAGTGGAGGAAGCGGATAATCATGAGTTTGATAGCATTGACGCTATTTTCTGTTCCAGCTTACGTAAATTATTCTTGACCACGTTATTCGATGGATCTAATAGCAATGATTTTTCGTACAGACGTTTTGCTTCTTCGAATTTACCATTGATATGCAGTATGGCACCGTAGTCGCCATATGACTCTGCACTAGGATGATGGAACTGTAATGTTCGTAATACCTAAAGAAATACAAATCCAATTATGGAAGCGTATTATTTAAGAAGAGACAAGGAATAGAAAGAGGGCGGGTAGTACAGTGGTATTGATGTCATTCATCACGAGCACGGTGCTGGTTCGACATCGCATCAAGTTCACCAAACCTCTCATGCTTCCGGAGTCGGGAAGTCGGTACCAAACCTGTTTGGAACGATCTAACTCCTTCTAATCCAAGTGGGAGCGTTCTAGCTCGGCTGTCGCAAGATTCGGAGAATCGATTTGACCAGCTTTGAACATATCTATGAAGAAGAAAACAATCCTAAAGTTGCAGCCGAAACCACACACGAGACGTTCGAAGACCTTCATGGGTGATAGATGCGACGAAACGACTCAGATGCAGAAGAGCTGTGATCCGCACTGTAGATGTGTAAAAAAATAAATTATTTGAGATCGCGTGTGTAGCGCACTTCTTAACAATGACCTGCAATATAGACGCGGTCATTGGTTTGATCTCCGGAAAAGTCAAACTCTCCATACCTCTGGCGTCGGCAGATTGGTACCAAACTTAGCTGGGTGAATAAAAGCATTGAATTAATGCATTCTTTTACTATCAAGAGCGATGGAAATACTAGCAAGGCTGTTTCGTTTTGCAAAAGAGGGAGGCTTACACAACAGCGGCAACCATCGCCCAATTTGTCCACTGTTTGTCGTCTACACTTTTTCACCCAAGTAATCCTGATGAGGATTGGCAGAGCAATGGAGAAAGAGAAGCTATGTGAGCAAGTAGGGTATCGGAAAGGATTCAGTACGTTCGACCACATCCACACGATAACGAGACTCATTGAAGTATCGTGAGAATGCAGAGGACCCCTATATCTCACTTTCATCTATTTAAATGAAGCTTTTAACTCTGTTCAAGTAGAAGCAGTGTTGGAAGCCCTGGACATACAGGGCGCCCCTACTGATCACATAAAGATTATTCATGAGCTTTATAAAAATTTCACAGAATTTAGCCATTTTATAATGACATTGACGAACGACGTTAAGAGGGGAGTTTGACAAGGCGATATCATCCATCAAAGTTTTTACATCCATCCTCGATAACGTCATATGAGAACTGGTATAGGACAATGCTTAGATACCTAGATAATTGCATAGCCCGTCTTCACTGGTTGTGCTGGCGCCCAACATAATTTCCTTTCTCCGGAGACTTTCTGATTCAGAAATCGTAGTGCTCTGGAGAACCGAAGTCAGTCTGGCCGGAACTGTACTCAGGTCGTCACCATCAGTCGCCGCTTTTGTGGATCAGAGGGAGATTAGCCACCATGCGACTAGTTTCATGACAGGACGGTGGTGGATCCTGGTATTTGTTTACTGTTAGTTTGGTTTCCTGATGGAAACACCTGGCTCCTTCTCAGCTTGGGAGGCCTTGCTGAGGTATGAGCTCCCCGCTGTCTGTACATCGTAGCCCGACATCCAGGAACACCTCCCAGCCACGATGAGGTGTTAAACCGTTGGAATGACGAAAAGAGAATGGGAAAATATAGAAGCGAAGGTAAATGATCGGCAACTACACAGTTTTTTGATTCTTGATGATATCAGTTTTATAATGTCAATCATTAGCTAAACGGAAAGAGTGTTGACCGACTTCAACAACGTCTATGAAAAGGTTAGCCTTCGATTAAATTTCACGAAATCGATGTTCAAGAAAAACGGGTTCGTTTCTAAAGCCACATTCACGCTTAACCGATTACATATTTCCAAATGCTCTTGCTATGTATATCTAGATCTGGATGTCAAACGTTGAACAACATGGATCCAGAGTTCGGTAGGAAGATACGAGCGGCTTGAAAAGCTTTTAGGGGCATCAGTAACGTAGTGAAGAGGACTAGGAACACTCCTTCTCCATTTTTTTTTCATTTTTCAAGCGATTCCATGCCGACCTTTTCAACTGCATGATTCTCCCTGCCTTAATGTACGCATCAGAAACCTGGTCGTTATGTAAGCATAATGAAAGATTACTCAGTGTCTTAGAACCCTGGGCAGAAAGCACGATGCTGACAGTATCTCGAATCGCACAAGTAAGAGGGAGAATCAGAAATTCCAACCTATATCAATGATCAAAAATTGGAAACACCGCTATGCACTGCAAAACTTCGCAAATAATGTTGCCTAGACACGCAATGCGCCTGAACGACAACCGATGGACAAGAACCGTTAGTGAATCGATTCCTGGAATGTTAAACGCATGGCAGGAGCACCACCGACTCGTTGATCAGAGTTCTTCACGAAAACTCTGGAAGAAATTTGTGATGCTCAGTGTGTTGCTGGCGAGTAAAACCCATTGGAGTGCTTTTGCGCGCGAGAAGGACAAATGTGAAATTCACTGGTGCCTGTTGAAGTAACTCGGCGATCAAGAGGACTACAGGAGGTGGTACAGATGATCAAGAACGAAAAACGAAAGATAGGAAGATCATGTTTGTTGACTACCTCTTCGCTTTTATCGTATCTGCCTTGTTCTCGTAGTAAAGTCGCGAGAGCTGTGAGTGTTACTCGATGTGTTCCGACGATCTTTAAAGCGTTCTTGTAAGCTGCCTCAGCTCCAGCAACATCACCCTTAAATTTCCTTTATTAGTCTTACATTTTTAAAATTGATATAAAATGCTTTCCTGGTGAATTTTACCCGTGATGCAGCCGCTAGTCCGATATGATGGTAAACTTCTGCCAAATACGGTGAGGTTGCCAATGCTTTTGAGAAGTAGATGTTCGACTCAGCGGTTCGGTTCTCAAAAGTGCGATCTTTTCTTCTGGGAACAATTAAAATGTTAGTAACTGTAAAAGGATAAAGGATAAAGCTTTCGGCGTTGATCAATCCCTGAGAGATGCTCCATGCATTCGACTTCATTAAGTATCGCTGGAGGTGATTGAATGCATATCTGGCATTTATGACTCGCGGTGGCCTGCCGATGTATCGAGCCAGTGCTGCTATCCTCCCAAACAAGCCTGGTACCAATTTGCCGACCCAGAGGGATGGAAGGCTTGGTGGGCCATGGGCGCGGGGATCAATTCCATGTGTGTCGCAGTGGCGCCTCCAACCACAGCACCACATGCGCTTTAAGGAGCTATAATTACCTGTTTATTCCTAAGATGAGCCATGGTGAGAAGCGTCGGGATGTGATCGGGTGTGTATCCGAGAGCTGCTTGAAACGAACGCTAAATGAGAAAGTTATAGTTGAAAACTGTTGCAGTTACCTATTTCTGCAAATATTCTTTGTCTTAGCCCTTTTTTTTCAAATTTTGAATGCCATGTTGTTTTTTGTGGTATTGAAGATAAGTTTTTCTTATAGTACTTCTGCTTTAGCATCTTGTCCGAGCATTTCCAGTACTTCTCCGTATGAGTAGAGCAACGAAGCAAGAAACGAGTATTTTCTCGGTGCTTTTTGAATTGCCTGAAATGTCTTTTTTCGTTTCGGTGTTATTTTTGCATTGAAATTACATTTCTAGGACCGGCGATCTTTTAGGGTTTATTTGTCACATTATGTCAATGTTTTGATAGTAAGATATTGTGGTTTTCCTGGTAAAAACCAATCAATCAATTTTCAGTGTTGTAACCATTAAGTTCCCACCTCTTCTAATATGAGTTGAGCACGGGTTAGACTACGTTCCTGTATTAGCATTTTTCCGAGGCGAAAGCGACAACTTGTCTGAGCGTTCTGGTGTTCTCGTTGAGCTTTAACCATAGATCCATCAATGTCGGCGCACGCCTGCCAGATTGACATCGAACGCTGACGATCGCCGATTTCTTCATATACGATTCCGAGATTTAGATAAGCTAAAAGTTTAAGCGGCATAACTTTCGAAAATATCATCCCAATACCATGATACGTACCGACAGCAAAGGTTTTACGGATTCCGATGGAAATTTCATAGCATTCAATGGATTTGTTCGACATTTTCTTCTCCTGATAAAGAACACCTCTGAAATAATAAGTATTGAAAACTTCTAAATTTAAGATTAACAGTGGAATACAGGGAACTCACAAATTGTACCATGTGTCAGCCATGTTCGGTCGACAATGAATAGCACTTTTATACGCGGCTTCGGCTTCATCGAATCGCATTTGTGATGCATATACTCTTCCAAGGTTGGAATAAGCTAAAAACTTGTTTTATCCGAGAAAGATTGTTTTTAAAGTTCATGTTATCATGACTACTTACCTTTCGGTGGATTCAATTCCAATGCACTTTTGTACAGACTCTCCTCATCTCTCCAATCCATGTTTCTCTTGTATGTTCTGGTTGTGTGTAGGATAAGAACAGTTATGCCAAGTGACACCATCAATGTCCTGTTGTATCTGTAAGTTCAGTGGAAGCTGCACGGAATCCCTCTGGATATTTCTTTTGTGGATATTGTTATTACATTAAGATTGTTTAACTCATATTACTATGTGAATGGTGGAAGCATCTTGAGGTGGAGTTCGAGGGTGTGCATTGTCAGTTCTGATTTCTAATTTGTGCTGATGCTATACATCATGTTGCTATCGGCTCAAGGAAAATTCTGATACGCTTTATTTAAGCTGGAGAGTCTCAAAAGTGAAATTTGTGACTATATAAAACACGATCCTACCGTAAACAACAGAAATTATACAGCATTCCGACGAGAATACAGTATCCCACGCTTGGTAGGTAGAGTGTTCTTTCCGCGGCTACGAATCCGACATAGTAGAAAAGGTTAGATGCGGGTATAAACGGCAGTATTAGCATTGCCGCAGCATATAGCACTTTTTGTGATGCCTAAATCTATCTTAAATGTAGTTATAGGGGTGACATGCATACACTAGTACGCAACTTGTAACAGTAAGTGCAGTGATGAATATATGAAATGCCTTTTTTCTATTCCTATATTTTACTTCTACAATTACAAAACAGGTTTTTCATCTACGCAAAATGTTACAGGAGAATAGTCTTAACTCACACTGCTGTGCTGTCTACTGGTTTTTGTTGATAGGTTTTTATACGAATAGCTTCTCTTTCGACTTGATATCCTCCATGTTGACACCGTACAGCGAAGTTTTTCGTAAGTTCCACTGTGTTTAAGTAAAATACTACAGGTTAGCATTGCACAAGAGTAAAATGCCAGAGCGATGATGAAACGCGAATCTGTTGGAGAAGTAACGAGAGGAATGGAATCCATTGACCAGTCAAAGCTGAGCTGAAACACCATGACATTACGTAGGTACTATACTTTCGTAGTGAAAACAAAAACAATCGTTTGTATGTAATGTGCGTACAGTCTCCACCAAAGCTAAAGAAGATTGTTTATGTATGTAAGTGTTAGAGCACCTACTTCCCCCTTAGAACTGAGTGCAATTTGAGAAATTTGCTTTAGGTTCAAAAACGAATTCTCTGACACCATGTTGTTTGTGCAGTTCCCTACTTCATTTCCCTCTATATAAAACGCCTCCCGATGGCAATGACATGTTTGGGTGTTTCACTGCGAGCGAAGTTCATGCATCAGTTGAGTCACTCAAAATGAAAGTAGTTGGTCATAGGAGGGACCAATGCCAGTAATTGTTGCTGTGCTGCTGGAATAAGTTCTTTTCCAATCAGAAGAACACCAATTGGATGGATTGCGCTAAAACTCGCGAATTTTTTCTTTGTTAAGGCGGCAGGTTATCCATTATTCATGCAGGTGTCGTCTTTATTTTCGATTGTTTTGTTTAGTTATATACACCTCTGTAGTTGACAAACAAATGAAGAACTTACAAATTTTGGGTACACCATCAACTTTAAATGAAATAACGGCAGATAGAGAAAAGTGAGCGTGCGAACCATCAGAGAAGGATGGTGAGCGACTGGGTTGTCCGATTTGGAGAATCTAAATGTGAGACGACACAGATTCAAACTATGTACTGGTACCTAAGCGGTTTATTTGGTCCATAAATCTTTTTTGTTTGTTTGCAATCTTTTTAATGCTGAACTATATCGTTAGGATATCGGTCTCCTATAATTCTTTTCTTTCCCGACTTTGTCCTATCGTAATTTTGCACGTTTAAAGCTCTTAGAATAAATTTTCCTGTAGTTTCCAAATATGAAACTTTTTAGCCCACCTGGGTGTTTCGAATTCATTAATCGCATGACGAATCATTGAAATTGATATGAAGATGAACAGCAAACAATATACGGATCGGACAGTGTCGGAAGGTGACTGGAAGCTGTCAGAAATATCGCAATAGAAGTTTTTTTTAGGGGAATTATTTTGAAGGGTATCTGCTGAGAAACCTGATCGATAGAATTTTAATCTGAGACGGCTTCCACCACATAGGAAATGTTGCAAACAGTTCTTTCACTACCTCTATAATAAGAACTTGAAAGAATTCTATGCTAGCAAGTAGCGTCTCGTCTACAAAGGCCGAAGACGTCCTCTAATGAAGGCGTTAATTTCTTGACCTTCTACCTTCGAAAGTCAATTACGCGCACCGCCTTTGAGTGCTCGTTTCCTCTGTGCAGATCGTCAGCAATACAATTCGTTGTCTCTAATGAGCAACGCGCCTCTTCACAAGTCATTCCACAAAGGATTCGCTCACAACGGCGTCCATCACAAATAGCCCGATAGTCACCGAACTAACATGTTGGTGAGAAATCTTCTAATTCTGGCATCTCGAAAACACTTTGGGAAATTCTCCCACTCCAAACAAGCACATTCGGCTACGATGAGATTGGCGATTTTTAGAAAGGATAAAGCGCTATGCGTTTATTATTCCCTTAGGGATGCACATGCATTCGAGTCCATTAAGCACCCTGGATGTGGGACGAGTTGAGAATATTCATGGAGAAAGGAGTATGAAACAGATGGACGATAATGAGGACACTAAGTAAATGTGAAAAGCTCGAAAGTGAAGGCGTGAAAACGACTTTTGGTATGGAAACGGTTCTTTGCACAAACCTTCCTTGGATGTAATAAAACGAAGGCGATCAATATCGACGGCAGCATAATACCGGTCTCCTTGAAAGAAGTAGCTATTACTGTGCAGCCAACTGTTATGGAGGTGTTCTACAAGTATTCACAGACATATAATGAGATAAAAATAAGGTTCACTTTCATTCAGTTAACCTTACAACCTTGTATATGGTTCTCACTGACCTCATAGCTATCGTGCAAGAGTATTCCAATTAATACTACCATAGCGGCCAGAACGTCGGCTCGTCCGACTATACCGGCTACTGCCTCACAGTGAATCGGATGAACGACGAAGAGCAAACTTGTAAAAAGTGGTGCATCTGAATGAGCTGAACTTCTGAAGACTATAAAATCTTGTGCACAAATGCTTAGGTACAAACTACATGAAACGGTGACGTTTCTAAAACAATTAGGTGATGAATAAAAAACCATTTTGAAAAAAAAACCTGCAGATAAGACAAAAATGCTAGATGAATGGTACAGTAATTACCAATAGCAGTATTCATTTGCTCATGTAACTTTTCTCGTAGGGATCTGTTTACTTTTTGATATGAGTAAGCAACGTAAAAGAAAACAGAGTTCTTAGTCGTAACAAAATTCTGGTTTTCTTTGACACCACATCCGAAATCATAAAGGTGGAGGTAAATTTGTGTATAAAGTTTGGAACTACTGCTAGTTTCCCACCATTAATGTCTCATTATGGCAGCGCGTATTCTTGAGTGACGAACTGAAAAGTACTGCTCCATCACTGTGTCAGGGTCACCCATGATGAGAAGCGGTTGGACGTAGAAGAGTAAACCAGCGGCGGGATAGCCAAGGCATGGGAGAAGTCACACTACCAGCCGAATTCTGGTGGAATGGTGGAATAGAATTTGTGTTGGAAGCTATAGGATTTTCTACATAGGATTTTCTACAAAGAGCGGCTATTTGAGCAATATTGAGATTAGACCGAAGATTGTTGAATACATGGTGCTTGATGTTTTTCACATTTTTTTTACCTCTACCTAGAAATATTTAACTTACCCGTTACATTAAAGGTTCCTTTTCAATGGAATATTCTATGGGCAGTACAAAAATGCCTCTAGATTTAATTACACGGATCTGTTAAGGCTTAATCTCGTAGATCTTAATTACTTCGGGACCCATAGTCGGTATTAATCCCTATCCACTAGATCGCTTCTTTGTTTTAGTTTGACGCAGTGCACTATTAAACGGACACAACAGAGGAAGACTTAGGTCAAGATGATTGGCTCGAATTGAGATTGCCCGCCGCTCACTCAGCTCTAAGGTCTACTACATTGCACGCAATCGAGTGGGCAAGGTTAGTAGTTAAGCTGACTAGACAAGAGTTTATCATATAGTGTAGCAGATTCGGTTTCTAAGAAAGGTAGTGAGATGACGGTTATATAGACTTATTTTCAAGGATTTATATCGTACAGCTTGAATTTCTTTATTAAATTCTAAATCATGAATGTCTCTTGTTACTAAGAATCTTTTTATTATGTAAAATAAGCAACGCATAGTGTGCTTGACAAAATCTTTTCTATAGATTCGAGCAGTCAACTTATTCTGGAAATCGCGGTAACAAAAACAGCAGGCCAGTTGGACTTTAGAACATGTTCGCCACTAATGCCACCGATGAGTTTTCAATTTGTACAGCAAACAGAAAAAAACCACTACGGCGGGATTCGGTGGAAAAGCTGGAAAATATGCAGGAAATTTTTTTAATTCATCGGAGTTAATTCTAACCAGTTATCATATGAATCTTTTCTTCTGATGAGGTAAAAGACTTTGTTGTTAGAAAAATGATTGTGACCATGGGAAATTCTTTTTGTTAACACAATGAGTTCATGTTATGAAGGCGAACGACTTATTTTCATGAGAAATCGATTCCAGTAAGATAATATTAGGTTATTCGGTTACGGATCTCCTTCACGTGAATGCTTTCACGCCAATTACCTGCGAGGCTTAATGGCACAGCTACATGTGAGAGGTTAAATGTGAACTAAGTGCGGATTTCGACTTGCCCATGAGAATTAGATGGATTCACCGGATTAGTTCGCTGCCTTGGCTATGTTGGATTCACTTGTACCTTGTGTATAAAGCTAACCATAGTTAT